GAGGTAATTAAATAGCATGTCCTTCCGTGCAGTTCCATTACTGATCAGCAATAGGAGAAATTACCGGCTCCAAACAACAGGCCTATTTGTTGCTTTTCCTTCAGTTGTTTTTTTAAAAAAAGTGAAAATCAGAATATTTTTGTTTTTAGATTTAACTCTCTAAGAAATTTGAACTTGTTTACAGCGCGATTGTTTCAGTCAAAATGAAAATGAACTCATTTGAAAACCCAGGTTTACTTGTATTTTAGGTATCCTCTGAGATTAAAAAGAAACCTCAAAACTGGTATCAGTGTGGTGTTAGACAGGCTATAGAGAGGCTATCATCTTAACTTCTTATAAAAGAAGCTGTGTTTCCTTTAAAATTCATTTTCTTCCAATAAATTCCTCTCTTCTTAATGACATATCATCTATTTACTTACCGAATTTTCTAAGAGGGAAGACAGATAACTTGTTCATATTCTTAGAGGTGGCTGATCTTATTTCCTGCCACTACAGAGAGAAAATTCTGATTACTGAAACTGTTTTACTTTGAAATGAACAAAAGAGGGCACTCATGTATTTCGTTTATAATTGTGCATTTTTTTTGTCAGCTGTGTAAGGACTGACCTTAACAATTCTTAATGCATTTTTTTAAATGCATTTTTAAAAGGATTGAAAAAAATAATATATAACATTGACAAAAACATACCTTTTTCATAAATAAAAGCAAGCAGGGAAGATCATTTTTGGAAGACTACTATATACATCACTTTAAGTGGATTCTGACAAGCAAATTCAAATAAGAACAAACATGAAAATCCTTTTCCACTAAGCTTGATTTTAATGCAATTTGAAATAAACAAGCATTTAAGAATAATACTGTTTGAAAAGAATGAGAAAGGCTTCTTTTTAATAAAAATTTCACAGAACCTAGATTTTGACCTGAAAAGAATGACGTCTTCTGACTGATAGCATGGATACAAAGCTTCAACATTTTTACATGGAAAGAATGGGGTCATCTCAACTCAGTTCCAAGGAAAGGAATGTCCCCTTCGCAAAGGGCAACCTAATGCCTCCCTTGCACCAGGCCACTGAGAGGAGGCAGAAGCCTAGAGCAGTGACGCCCTGGGCCAGGAGGGGGGGAGACAGAGCCTACTTTGTGTCCACTCTCCAGTTGTCCCCCCACCAGCTGTCCCTGCCATGAAAGCCACTCTATTCCGTGTCCAGACTGTCTTCCTGCAGAGGATCATGGAGCTTTGTATCTGAGCAGACGCTTACACTTCCCCTGAAATCTTTCCGGCACCAAGTGGTGAATTTAAAATACCAGTAAAAGCCTTCAGAAAGATATTACTGGTGGGCCTCAGAGGGCAGGGAGCCGGGCACAGCGTCCTCACCCGAAGGTCAAAGTCTGAGGCAAATAGCCAGAAATAATGAGAAACTTCAAAGAAAAGAAAGAAATCAGACATTTGTTCCCCCTAATAAGAGATTATTCATTATAATCTTTTCCACAGAATTTGGTCCAGAATTGGAGAAAGTCATAACTTTTCCTGCCTTCAAATATTCTAATGCTCTTATGTTCTTGAAGTGTCGCCTCTTGCAATGTAAACACTTGAACCGCAGGGCACAGCCCTGCCCCCACAGGCACTCGCGGTGTTGATCGGACACAGGGGACCTGCCGGGATCCGGATCAATTTGTGAATTTGATCTTGTTGTTTATTGATTCTTACATGATTCTCTTAAACTGCCACAATAGCAGCTATTACTTCTGACACATTATCAATGGGAAATGAGGATTGCGGGTGAAAAGAAGCTGGTGGTGATGTGAGAGCAAAATCCATTTCTGCATTCAGGCTTATAACCGTGGGCCGTGGTGTTGGAGATGGTGAGTGGAAGGAAGTGAAGCGACTCGGCATTTATTGATGAGCTCACTGAATGTTCGTCAATCACTCAGGTCAAGAAAAGAAGAGAGCTCGCAGAGATATGAAACAGAATCCCCGTGCACTTCCTGTGGCCATCATTCTCAAACTTTCCATCTCAGAATCCGTTTATACTATTAAAAATTAGAAGGGCCCTAAAGAGCTTAGGTGGTTCCTATCTATTTATATTTACTATTTTAGAAATTGAAACTGAAAGAATTAAAATATTCACTAATATATTTAAAAATAACAGTAATAAACATTTTCTTAGGCAAAATAACTATATCCCTCTCCCCCCAAAAAACCTAGTTGCAAGAGTGGAATTGTTTTATATTTCTGAATATATTTAAAAGATCTTGCCTAATAAGTTAGAATCCATAACTGCCTCTGTGTTCAATCTCTTGTGATCTGTTATTTTGGTTTACATATATGAAGAAAATCTGCTCTCACACATATAGAGAGTTGGAAAATGGAGTATTTTAATAGCCATTTTAGAAATTATGAATGTCCTTATTTTAAATAACATCGAAATTCAAAAAGTAGAAATTTCTTAAAGATTAGTAGCTATATGGCATCTGAAACCAGTCTCACAGGTTTTTTTGTAATCTGTGAATTGACCTATCTTGCACCGTGACTATATTTTTTTATCCAGGCTTGGTAGTTATAACATCATGATTTGTTATTCGGAACATATTGGTTCATTTTTTTGTGTAGAGCTGATAAACATGCAGGGGAAAATCCCACTGAACACTCGTGGGAAAGGAAGCTTTCAAAGGCAGATGACAGACTAGCATCACTGCAGAATTTTTTGACTTCACAGATTCCCCGCAAGTGTCTCAGGCAGCCCAGGGGCCCACGCCCGTGACGACAGCTGCGCTCTGCCTTTCTCTCTGCAGAGTTCAGACTCATCTGCTGCCCTTTCTACTCTTGCGGAGACCTCGCCATCACCGCTTGGAACTTCCTGCAGTTCACAGTGTATATGTCATGTTTTTTTTCACTTCAGAATCTTTGACAGTTCTGCTCAGCCTTTAGGGAAGTTTTAGTTCACAAGCTGCTTTTTCTAAGAAGCCTACTCTGACATTCCTTCCTCTGGGCTCTGTGTTCCATCCTAAAGGAACTACTCCAAACCCTGGCTTGTTTACTTTCCTAATCAAAATAGATTAAAACCCCTAACAGATGAGAATCATAACTGCTTGGATCAGTATGTGCATCTGGGTGTTTTTTTCACTTTAAGGAATAAAAATCAAGATACGTAGGTATGTAGGTAAAGGTAGAGAGATGGTTTTCTGCTGCATTGCATTCACTTCTTTGGTCCAGTATTAGACTCTTGGCACAACCCTAGGTTGGTATACGGCATTTTCTCTTTGTAGGCAAAGATAATGTCTGATAAGCTCCCCGTGCTTCAAAGCACAGGTTGGGTTACACTTCCTCTAAGTGTTATGACCACCGCCCCCCCCGACAGCAGGCACTCATCCCTTTGACCACACGGAGCCCTGAAATGTTTTCACGCCGCTCATCTGGCAGCTTACCAGGTATGCACTACCATGTAGCACTGGCTTTTGGGGTCCGTCTTTCCCCACAAGCGGTGAGCTTCTTGACAGTAATGACCGTGAATCTGGAGCCTCCCCGCACATCTCACACTTTTTTGACGCACAGCCATGATTAGTGATTGATCTTGACTGGCTGATCTGTCACGGGACTCCCCCTCTTCTCTGAAGGACAGCTCCAAGATGACATCCATGGATTCTGAACTTGGAGTCACAGCCTCATTGTACACTTGATCTGGAGAACCTGTATGCTTCAAGGCACTAATTGTCCATATAAGCAGAAAAACACACCCTAGCACTGGCTCTTCTGAGTACCCTTCGTTAAAAGGAACAGGCCTGTGCCCCAAATAGCAGGTGCTTTCGGGAGACATCTGATTCGTAAGTAACAGTTGCAAGTAGCAGAAACCCAATTCAAAACATCTTAAGTAAAAGGGAACTTTAATGGCTCAGACAATCGTTAAGGCCACGGGTGAAGCTGTTTGCATTTAAGCCTTGATGAAACCCAGGAGCTCAAACAATAATAGCAGCTTATCTATCTCATCTTTTCCCCTCTCTCCTCCAGTCTGCCTTATGCTCTGGTGCCTTAGGCAGGATCTCACTGACGCTCACAGCCTACAGGCCAAGGGAATAAACACCCTCTCTACAGCATCTGCATTTAGAATTGCAGCGGAAGCACTCTGATGGGCTCGGCTTAGCCTGTGACCATCCCTGAGGTCAGTCGTTACTGATAAATTGCTGGAGCACCACGACTGCAAAAGCCCATCCTGTGGGCACCGCTGCCATTCTCAGGCTAACCACAGCCAGAGAGGATGATGGGAGAGGGGCAGAAGCCCTGCACAAATGCAGGCGCTGCACAGAAAATGATGGTCAATACCAACTATGTCTCCGTTTGCTGGTTTCTCTGCCATAATAATTAATTGGATACTGGGTCAAGGCAAGAAGTATTCAAAATATTCTGATAGGGAAAATATTGCTTATTTGGAGATGAAAATAGTATTTCCTGTTTAAAAAGTAACTAGATTCAAATTTGGAAAAGAAGTGTCTTTATCAACCTGTTAGCTGTGGATTACAGGCTGATCATGTATTCTTCCTGAGTTGTAGTTTCCTTTCAGTCAAGTGAACGAATTCCCTCCTCTTTACTGCAAAAGATGGGGCAAAAACTGGCCAGTTTTAGGGCATTGAAGGTCCAAATATGCATGTCCACAGTTTTGTTCTAAATCAGTGGTTTTTAACCTACGCTACACATTCAAATCACCTGGCCAGCTCCTATGACTCCCGATGCGCCGCTGCAGCCCAGTGAGGTCGGGGTCTTGGAGGGGGACTCGAGCAGAGAGCCTGGGGCTCCCCCTGCATAGCCAAGGCTGAGGGCCATTTCTCCAAGTTCCCCAAATCTTTTGGTATATGATACATATATTAGTGGTAAACTGTGTCGTCAATACTTATGAAATTTACCAAATAAGCTGTGTAGTTGATACTTACTAAACTGTGCTGTTTGGGGTGGTTTCTCTATTAACCCTGCCTTTTGTTTCCTGTGTCCTGATGCTCTGACAGCCGGGGCCTCCCTGAGCCTGGCAGGGACTGCCTCTGCCGGGAGTAGCCGGTTCCTGGAGATGGTGAATGATGCCCCTGCCAGCGTGCTTTTCAGATACAAACCAACCACTCCCGAGCACACACCCGGACCCCTACCCTTCATCAGGTGACCACTGTCCACCTGCCCTGGGTGGGTTGTAACCTGGGCCAGGAACCAGACACCAGGGGGCAGCTATTAGTTCTTAAATATGCTAACATTATTCAAACTAGCCAGTCTTAAGCCTGCTTACCCAGCCTCACCTGTCCCTCCCTCCTGCAGGAACCACACTAAAGCCTTCTGCCCACAATCCCCAGCTTCCTGCCTCCTTGCTTCCCCCTGTGGATCCTCGCGGCAGGCCGTGTGCACCCTCTCTGCTTGGGAACTGTGAGTAACAAGTCTTTCTTTTCAATGGCAATCATCTCTTGGTCTGTTGGCCTGACTACACCTCAAAATTTCTGTTAGTACAGAAATTTTCTTATCTTTTAAAGCAGTCTCTGTAAAGCAGGCTGTACACACTTTGTGGGAAGGGAGTTAGTATCCTTACGGTACTTAGAGTGTCAGCGCTGTTTTCTCAATAAATACTTGCTACTTGCGTCAACTGAAGACCTAGGGACTTAGAATACTGTGCTAAACTGGAAATCATTCCCTGGAGAAGCCCAAATATTTACTTAAACAATGTGAATTACAGTCTATCAAAGTTCCTCAGGAAAGCTGGTATAGGACAATGTGAAATATTAGTATTGGGGTTTCTAATGAGCTCTATCCAATTCTTTCCTTTATATCTCTTTCATGTTCCTTTAAAAAAGAAAAAAGGGTCACGTTTTGATGTTTTAATAGCCTTTTAAAAGCAGGTTCTCGCCTGCTTTGAAAACCACTGTATACATAAGGCCAAGAACAGGTTAAAACGTGGTCACCTCATTAATGCCTTTAGTAGGGGCCAAAATCAGGTTAGGACTCGGTCACCTCATTAGTACCCTATTTAGGAACCTCTAATTTAGTGGCCAGGCAAGGTATTAATGAGGTGACAGAGTTCTGCCCACTTTGGGCTCAGCAAAGGCATAGGGCGTGAGGCAGATTAGGACATGTTCCGAAAAATCCCTGTTAGACATCAGAAATGCATCCCAATGGAAATAGTATGGTTGCAAGATTATTAGTAACACTAAGGCCTTCTTAGCATGTTTCAGACCTAAAGCAAAGCATTTTGCTGGTATTATGTCATTTCAAAGCCACAACAACTGTGTAGAGAAGAATTTATTATTTAACAGGTAAGAAAAATGAAACTCAGAGAGGTTAAGTAAATATCTGAGGCACCCAGCAAGTGACTGGGTGAGACCTCCGGCCTGCCTGGGCCTGAAGTCCTTCCCTGTCCCCCGCGCGGCCCGGGCTCCTGGTCTGGGAAGAGCCCCCGGGTGGTTCTGAAGCGCCGCGGGACACGGGCAGGGCGGAACTGCAGCCGCGTCCTGTGAGCCGTGGGTCAGTGTATTTGTAGACGTCATGGTATCAGCTTCTGTGGTCGGCAGCAACCGTATTAACATGACACAGAACAGAGTAAAATAGAAATGGAGAAGGCATCACGTGTCGTGATGGGGATTTTTCATGAAGCTTTGGCTTTGGCGGGTGTGTGTGCCTAAAACCTGGATCTGGATGAAAACAGATTTGTTGCTGCGATTATGGGTTTAAAGCATTCGAACTACCCCAGCCTTGGGGCCACGACTCAGCCATAGAGGCCCAGGGAGAGCAGGCACGTGGCTCCAGGCCGTGGACCCTGTGGTACTGGGTGCAGCTGACCTACTCCTGGAGCATCTCTGGGGGGGCGGGGGCTGCAGAGCCAGGGGCTGCGGGGGCGGGATGGGCCGCCTTTGATGAGGAGGGGGCGCCTCGCTGTGCTCTCTAACTGGAGGGGCGTCATGGCTTTGCGGTTACGTTTCTCTGCTCGTCAGGCTGGGAGTTTTTCAGCTGACATGATTCACGTGCAGAGACGGGACTCTGATTCCCCCACGCGGACCCGAGGCGGTCTGCATGCCCCTGGCTTGCTGCACGCTGCCCTCTAACCCCTCGTGGGGGCGGAGGAGACGCTTCCTTATTTTTGCAGCTGCTTTAGACTCTGGTTTGAACTAAACCACTCAGTGGCAGTTCCGACGCAACTATAATTTTAATGCTGATAAAAGTAATGTGGTTCAAGAGGATGGGCAAAATGAGTTGTATCAAATGTTGCAGTTCTGTTTTTCCTGAATGACATTTCTTGGCACCGTGGAAGTCGGTTGGTTCCGCTTGGAGCTTTATTCCAGGAGTTTCTCTGCATTGTTCCCAACTTAAGCAGGAAAAGCTTGACTAGTATTACCTGACATACAAGCCCACACTGTCCAACTTGAGGTTTAACAAGGTAGCTGTTATTAAAACAAAACAAAGCAAACGCCTTTTATTTAACTTTTCTTAGAAGAAAGGAGAAAATTGAAAGAATTTAAGGTACCATTAAGCAAATACTGCTGTGGGCATGTTCCTGGGGGCCCTACTGCCGTCCTACGAATGTGCTGCCCGATACTTCTCATCTTGCCATAAAGTGTCTTCTCATGAGGGGCACATGTGTGCCCTGAGGCCAGCCTACACACGTCCATTCTGAACTAACCCCTTCATTCGCACTTGTGACCCCAGCAATACCCCTCCTTGCAAAACTGGCATCCCTCAAATTGAGGTTTTCAAGTGGATACGACAGGAAAAATGATATTCTCATGTTGTGAAAACGGTTATTGAATTCAGACATCAGGTTAAAGATGTACAGGTAAAAATTGTTCTGATCTCTTCACACACTCCTCCTGAGTCCCACCACAGGCAACGTCCTACTGTCACTGACGTTCATTAAGTTATTTACTCCATTCAAAATGATATTCAGTGCCTGCTAAACTAACATGAAAGCGGTTTTATTTATTTATTTCTATGTGAAGACCCGTGTAGTGGTTCCAGACTTACACAGTTGCATGCAAGTAGGGGGGCTGCACAGCCTCTGCGGTACTCCTGGTCTTGCTCAGCATCTGGTGAAGTGAAGTTTGCTGGGACTACCTGACAAACAAGGCCAGGGAGTTTTGGTTATAAGAAATAGATTAAAATCCTTCTGCACCAATAAGGTGTTTTTCTACGTTTCTTTCTTCTCTCCTTTTGATTCAAACATTCATAGTGAAAACCGAAGACAGAATAAAACATTCAAAAGTAATAATTCTTGTTACTAAAAATGAAAACACACCAAGGTTTCCAAATTGTATCAATTTCATGTGTCAACATAACCCAATAATAGCCGAAATGTGTTGAACAATTTGCATATCAATGTGTAACAGGGCTGACACCATTTGAATTTTCTGCTGTGTTGCCAGTATAAGTGTGTTATTAGAATTACGGATTCCAGTATGAAAGAAAAAAGGTTAAAATAAGGCTGGTTTTTCTCTTGCTATTACAAGGTAACATGACACTTCATATTTTGAAAGGTTGGTCAGGCCATGTATGGACAAATGATTTTGTTGAATGTCACAAACTGTTACAGAAGCTTTAATTAAATTGAATACTTAGATCAAAAATCCCCTGCAAACAATATATAAGTTCCCTACACCATCATTACCAATGATGCAATTTTCCACTCACACTTTATAAAGGATATATTTTTTAAGATGATACTATGTGCCTTTCTCTAGAGCACAAATATACAAACACTAAACTAAGCTTGAATAGAATGTGTGCTGTGAGAAAGAAAATTTAACAGTAACAAAAGCTAAAATAAAAAACATGCAATGACCCTATGTGTACCATGAACCAAAACAACAGAAGGAAATCAAGTGATGTATTCATGGCCTCCTTACGAAGAAAAATCTGATAATTAGATGATTCTATTAGATTTGCTCCTCCATCATAAAATTCATTCTTGAGTGTTGCCCAAAATATCCACATTCTATGCGTGATTCTGAAACAGTACTTATCACACAGAATTGTAATTGGCTTCCTAATTTCTTGAAGAGAAAGACTATCTTTATTAATCTTTGTATCCAGTAGCTGGTACATAATAGGTAGTTAATAAGCTCAAACCAACATGCAAACACAAAATATATGTAAACATATTATGTTATACATATGTATATGCATATATAATATCGCTCCACTTATGAATAATGAGCTATGCCATCAAAGGCATTGTCCCACCAGAAAATGAGAGAGAGAGAGAGAGAGAGTGTGTGTGTGTGTGTGTGTCCCTAAGAAGAAATACCGCCAGCAGTATATTAAGGCTCAGAGGAGAACAGGAAGTCACTTCGGGATTGCTGAGGAATTCCAGTGGTTCTGGGAAGGCAGAGTGACCCCCCCTGAGAGGCACAGGGCTGCCAGACAGGAGCGGACGATGAGGATTCTCCATTACCAGGTGGAAGCTGCTAGAAGTTTGAACAAAAGAGGTGAGTGGGTGAGGCTGTACCTTCGCAGCCCATGTGTGGGCACCTTTGCCAGTTTACCAAAAAAATGGGTCCCCTTCCCAGCAGTGGGCAACACTAGCTGCCGGGACGTCTGGGAGACTGAAACAAGTGCATGGTTATGAGAAACAAGAAGATGCCCTTTGCCACAGCTCCGGAGGCTTCCGACAGTTAAGTGGGGAGGATCCTGGACTTCCTGCTAGTATTGTATGTAAGGACCAAAGAAATTTAAAAAATAAGATGGCTGTGATTATATTTGCAACCAAAGATATGAAGCTCTTCATATTGGAGGTGTGTGTGCCTGTGTGTCTTCAGTTATTAATAATCAGAAATATACAAATAAAGTTTACATGGTGCATTATAATTCCCCTTGAAGAAAGAGAGGATAGTGTCAAGTGTCTTTCTACAGCATATTTGTAAGGAACATGGAAAACATTTTGCATCTAAAACAGGGACTTTAAAAATGTCGGCATCTACCTTTCTGTAGAGAACTGCTGAATCATCACCGAGCTACGTGGAGAAAGTCCGCCTTTTGACAAAGCAGAGCCCAGGGGGCAGAAGGCCGCGGGCTGCAGGGCATCTGATTCCCCGAGACAGAGGGGGTGAGAGGGCGTGCGCCCCTCCGGCCCTGCGGCGGTAAAGGGGGAGGCCATGCATCTGCAGACGTTTCCCGAGAGCGGAGCTCCAGCACTTGTCCCCGGGGAGGAAGTCAGGCTCCACGGCCAGCGCTCTGCGGATGGGCTACCCCCGGGCAGGGGGGTCAGAGGCGAGCCCCGGGGCCGCAGGGAAGCCAGGCAGCCCGGGCCGTCGCCCACTCCGCCCTCTCTGGCGAGGCCCCCCGGGGGCCGACGACCGATCGGACAGCATCCCCACGGCCAGCGCGGTCTGTGACAAGCCACCGAGAGCCAACGGTCACCTCGTGCCCCACCGCCCTTCTTGTCC